GCACCAAGCTCAGAAAAATACAGCCTAGGGTAGATACTGGTGGTTTCTGTAGCCACAGACCCAGCTGATATTCTTTAAGGCCAAAAATTCAACATCACATGATAGATGCTATTTACAAAGACTGCACAAATCTTAAAAGATCAGGGCTACTTGGTGCTCACAATATTGTCCATTTATGCATGTATATACCTGGGGCACAGTCAGAGTTTCACGTGCTACATATGTATAGGTAACATTAAAGAATAATCCAGATACCAAATGCTTAAATATTTTTGGTACTGCTTCATCACTATATAAGCACATCGTGATACAACCTAATTCGCTAAAATTAAAACTGAATAAGCTTTTTACTTTTTAATCAAGGTTAGAAATTAGATGAGATGTAATTATTTTACATATCCAACTGTGAAAGCTTCATTAAAATCCTTAATATTAAGTAATACAATAAAAGGTTTTGTAGTATTACAGCAAGTTGCTGTTAACATTAATGCACTGAAAAGAAAAAGACTTTCTAATTTTTTACTTTTCTGGAGGATTTTGTGCAGTCAATTGCATACAAAAGTACATACTGAATATATGGTCACACGTATGTATATATCTATATATTTTTCTGAGTACAAAGCAAGAGAACAGAGTAGTTATGAGTGTCTTTCCACATCACTCACCGTTGGATAGAGTGTGTATTCACCTGCAAACTTGGGCCCTTTGGCATTTGCCAGGTAGACTATCATAAACAAGTAAACTAGAAATGCAAATGATTATACAGATTGAAGCATCTCTTAACTACTTTAAATTTAAAACAGTCTTTGTTCTCTAATTAAATCATCTCTACTTGAGAGGCAACTCGAGTTACAGGAAACACAAATAAGCAGAGCCAGGGTAAATAATTCCTTTTTACTATTTCTAGATCAATTAAAAGCAATACTCACCAGTGTGCTCTTTTAGCAGCAGAATCCACATTCACTTCAATGACAGCAAAGCATCATTTCAACTTCCAAAATGGCAAGACAAGGAGAATGGAGAAAAAAAGATGGGTGAGGGGGTTGGCAGAAAGGAGCGAAAAATATCAAACAAAAAGCAATTTAATTTAAATACCTTATTGTACTAGATTCTTGCTACTAAATTTAAAGTTTGCTTTTAACTCTCATTTCAATGGATTTGCAGGAAAAAAAATCTAAAGAGTAAATTTAGATTAAATTGATCATTATAATTTATTTTATTAAAATAATATAGCTGAAAGACCTTTCTTCCAGTAAAGGATTCTGGCTTTGATGTCTGATTGTTATGCAAATTCTGTAGAGTACAAGATACGGACAGAGGAATAATTAAGCTCTGGACTTTGTATATAATAATTCTTACAAATGTAAATGTACACTGGTTTGAGATAATGATGTGTACACGCACTGGGAGTCATACAAGTACTTTAGCAAAGACAGGAAACCCCACAAATACTCACCAGTGCCTCCAAGCAGGCGTCTGGGGCGGCAGGGCCAGGCTGCTGACACGCGCCGGGGGCACCCACACCCCCAGCAGCCCCAGAGGAGCCTCTCGTGCTGGAGACCCCAAGGAACAGTTCTCAGCACCAACACACAAACATTTGAAAAACAAAGTGAGCTTTGTTCTGGAAGATAAACATTGACCATATACATCTATATATTTCAAAGCACTCAATTAGAAACTGAACTTTGCCCCTTTCTCAGGCTTTGAAATATTCCGGCCCCAAACACAGGCCTTTATTCTCCTTTGGCGTGGGCATCACTCTCCCTCTCCTGCTCCCACACACCATATGGCCCCCGACCCTGGGACAAATTCTGCACTGATTTATGGCCTTTGCAGTCCAAGAGGCTGACTTATGGTATAAATCTGGGGGGCAGCGCACTTGGGCAGCCTGCAGGTTCTTCCCCATGCTGTCCCTGCTCCCATGTGCTCATTTCTGCCAGCCAAGGATGAGGGATTTACACCCTACCACTGGGAGCAGATCTGGGTTCAGGCCACATCACTACAACTCAGCAAGCAATAAGACCAAATGCAATGGACACCACGAGTGCCAGTACAACCTGAAATGTCCTCCAACAGAGAAAGGGGAGTGCACTTGCACTGTCGGCAGCTGGAGGCTCTGGGCAGTTGAGGTGCCTCAGGTGGGTGAGTGGTGCTAAGCCCGCTGGCTCTGCCACCACCACAGGGCATGCAAGCTTGGAAGGCAGGGCAAAAGGCACTCACTGCATCACTGGATGCCAAAGCAAGAGTAATCCAGATTGGTCCCTCTGTAGACAAAATAACTCACAAAGAGGAACGAACACAATCAGTTTTTAAGGCACTACAGCCCATCTTCCCATCTCGAGACGATGCACACATAGAGCATGCAAAGGGAGCGAAGCAGCGTAGAGAGGCTGGAAAGGCACTCAGAGCCATGGACCAGGAGGGGAGTGCCTTTGTTTCAGCCACAGTTTGGTAAAGAAAACAACTCCTGCAAGACAAGTGCGGATGAGGAGGCCAGTTGCATTCACTAACACTCAGCGGGCCAGGCTGGGGCGTTTGCTGAGCTGCTGCACAGGGGTTGCTCTCCAGAGGCACATTGGCTGCTCACAGTCATCCATAACACTGCTGCAAACACCATGGAGATATACAGGATTGTACGTTATGGGGGGGGGGGGGAAGGAGGAGAATTTAGTTTTCACTTTTTGTTCATCTTATTTACCTTTCAGTTTCACTAAGCTTGAAAATCAAGCCAAGTGATGATCAAATTCACCTTTTTATTTATAGCCGTTTTCACAAGTTTTCCCAGAAAACAGCACAGGATGTTTACAATGAAATGAGAAATTGATTGATGCATCTTAAGTGCATTTCCTAAACACTCATCATTAAAAAAATATACACATAGACTTAAACATCCTGATCCCTTTAAAGTGACCAATTTTGCCAAGGGGTTTTTTCAGTGTCTGTACCACATCGGTATTTAAGCACACCTTCTCTGCCACTCTCTGGAAGCTGTTCCACAGCACTGGGGTGGGGGTTTTTTTTCCCCCCATCCAAAATGACAAGACTCCTGAGCCAAGTGCAACACTCAGTGAGGGATTTTAACTCTGTAAATCAGATGATACCACAATCACAGTTCAATGAAAGAAGCAAAAATCAAATCAAATCAAACAAAGAGATCCCATCATCCCCTGCCGCATCCTCCCTCCTCCCCCTTCCCACCCAACCAGCAGCTCCTTTAGTCCATAAAGGAGATCGGAGGAGAGCAGCTCTGCCATACACTGCTAAGCACAAAGCAAAACATATGAAATACGCTACACACTTTGTGCTTGCTTTGTTGTTTTCACTCACCCAATGAAAAGGGCAATGGCAAACTCAAAGAGCAACATTTTAAAGTGATGTGCAGCACCTTCTGCAATTTGCTCTAACACACTTCAGCCAAGAGCCAGTTCATTCAAACACACTGACTACACTCAGCAGCACAAGTCCTGCGGGGTTTGGCTGGTGGGTCCTTGGGCTCATCAGGCAGAGAGCGGCTGCACTTCCTTCACCCCAACACCACTGCGGGCACCATCAAAAGCAAACCAACTTTACACGGCAATAAATTTTTTATTCAAATAAGCTTGTCAACACCAATTACCACAACCACAACTGCCAAATACCAAGAAGCACTGTGAGGAACTCCAGGAGGCTGCTGCAGCCCTTGTTCCACTCTACAAACACCAAGTTTGGGATGTGGGGTCCTGAGGCCTCCAGGCATGGCGGAGCCAGGACCCGCAGGATGCAGCCCTGCATCAGCACATGGCAGCAAAGGAGCCTCCCCCACTCTCTGCTTCCAGCTCCCAAAGCTAAGCCAGCTGTCAGCTCTGTTTCTTACATACATGCTTTATCTGCTAAAAGTAACAATTCACACAAACCCAAGGATTTTTCATGACTAAAAATTCTGAATAAATAGTATTTTTCGATGTGGAAAACTCCAGCAATATGCCACATATTAAAAAAAATAAATTTTTTTCCCTTAAAAACATGTTATAAGGTATGATTGCTGGCAGGATTATTCTGGAAGCCAGCACAAGCTAAAGAGTTCCAGCAACATTAGCATGACACAGTTTAAGCTCCCAATGTTTCACTGCTACAAGTGGGAAACAAAAATTCCAGAAGAAACTCTCAGTACATGAAATCAAATCACCACACAGAGTACCTTTTTTTCTGTAATATTTTATTTATATAGAAATACTTAAAAAAACATGAAGTAGCACCATTACTTAAGTTTTACTTTTATTATGTAGAACTTTAAATGTCAGAAAAATAAAACTCTTGATACAATTTCAAATCTTGTCTCAGCAAATATAATATTAGTATTTGACCATGAGGTTAAAGGCCCTTTATCATAAAATAAAATATACTTTGTTTTTAAACTTTGCTCAGTAAAGTACATTTAAGCTCAAGTAACGTCACCTACATATACATAAACAAGTGGTAAACAAATGTATTAAAATAGAAATACTAAAACTATAGTGGTGCAACAGAATTTTTGTAATTTCCACTGAATTCTATTTATACAAATGTTAGAAAGCTTCAACAGTTCCTTTTGACATATGTTTATACATTTCCATTTTTGTAATAATATAGAATAAAATATGCTTTATATCACTGAATAGAAAATATGCTGGGTGAAGCAGATTTAAAAGATTTTTTTTCTGAACCTATAAAATCTCCATCCCAACAGAATACTGTTCAAAGCATTACACATTTTATGGTTTGTAATTCCGTTCACAATTGTGTGATATTAAAATAATACAGTGTTCTTTGCCATAAGGCCATACTAAAATAAAAAAGATTTAACCCAGCTACAAAAAGTTCACTGAACTTAAATTAAAATACTTGTAAACATCTTTGCAATATGAAATATAATTTTTCAAGTCAAAAAAGAATAAAATACTTCAATCTGTATTAATGCAATTTATCTTTAAAACCTTTAAACGTTTTTAATATATATAAGAGATATGTTACAGTTTTGTTGGTTTTTTTTTCTTTTTTCTTTTTAAAGTCTGATAAAGCTGCAGTATCATGGTTTTTCACAGGAACTTCTTGCCCTTTCAAGAACATTCAGAAAAGTATCCACCCATAGATTTAATTATTTTGTAATAAGCATCCTAGAACTACCAGCACGTTTTACTAACAGTCCACACACCATTGTCATCATCATAAGCATCTTCTACTTTCAATTTTTTTTTTCAGGTTTTTGTTTTGTTTGTTTATAAAAAAAGGGGGGAGTTTTGGAAGCTTCGTATTAAAGTACAGTGTAAAAACTAGCCTAGCACTAGAATGGAGTCGCCCGTTATTATTTATAGCATGCACCCGCTGTCACACCACCCCCCAAGCCCTCCCTCGGCCGCACCCGCACCCCTGGCGGGCGCGGCCCCGGCCCCGCCGGCCCCCCCGCCCCTGCCCTGCCCGGCCCGGCCGCCGCTGCCCCCGGCGCTCAGGAGAAGATGCGGATGGCCTGGGTGACGGCGCTGTGGCACACGGGGCACTGCGGCTCCGTCTTCTCGCAGATGCGGTTGGCGCACTCCATGCAGAAGAGGTTGTGGCCGCAGGGCACCAGCGCCGCGATCACCTCGCTCTCGAAGCACACCGAGCAGTCGCGGCTGCCCTTCCGCCGCACGCCGGAGGAGGAGCAGGAGGAGCTGGACGAGGAGCTGGAGGAGGAGGAGGACGAGGCGGAGGAGTCGGAGGGCAGCCCGGGCAGGTGGGCGCCCAGCCCGTTGGCGTACAGCGGGTAGGAGGCGGCCAGCAGCCGCCCGCCGGGGTCGCTGCGCACCCGGCGCGCCAGCGGGTGCTCGGTGCCGGCCGCGCTGCCGTGCAGGGGCGGGGAGAGCCGCGCCGGGGGCGGGGCGGCGCCGCGCCGGGGGCCGCT